CGGAAGCTGTCCCGATCGTAAGGTGCCTTGCCTCCCTAAGGCTTGCTTGTGGTCTTCGTTTTCCGTTTTTTCCAATGTTCTGATTTTATATATTACTGTTCGACTCGACGGCACTCCGAGCATCGTGTGGGCGAGAGAGGATATATCTGATAGTCGGGATACATCCAAGGAAGTCCTACCGTCTTCACCTGAATAGAAATCTCGGTCATTATAGCCGTAGACCAGATGCAGCCGTATGACCGGGCGTCGTTCTATTCCGGTGAAGGCGGTATTTTGAAAATGTCCTGAGAGAGCATGCGGTAGGATACGCAGGACGACGCAATCTGAGCAGATGATCGCCAGTTTTTTTTTTCTTTTTTTTTTTTTTGCTTTTTTTGACGACGTAATCTGAGCAGATGATCGCCAGGTTTTTTGTGTTTTTTTTTTTTTTAGTATATAATTTGAAGTTCCTTCTGCAGTTAACCACAGTCCTCGTTTTCCGTCTGATAATTGCTCCTCCTGCCAACTGGCCTACCTTCTTCCGCCGAATGCAACGTACGGTCATTATAGCTGAATTTGGGGTATCTTCCAGTCTAAATACAGCTATAATGACCGTGCGCTGTATTCGGGGAAGGTAGCCCAGTTGGTACACCCATGAGCTTTAAAAAAAATACAGATCTGAGTTCGAATCCAGATGGGAATACAAGCTGACCGCAATTTAAGGCCAGATCTGTATCTGATGTTTCTGGGCGGAATCGCCTTCAGATACATCCAGATCTGTATCTGACGGCAATTACGCCCAGAAATTAAGTAAAAAACTCAACAGTGTGAGCACACCTCTAGAATGTTTTCGAAAATCAACGGCCAGCATTCTGAATGCACCTGAGCCTTGCCGTTTGTCCAGATAGATTCTGAATATTGCCGTTTTTGTCAAGTGGTGCGGCGAGCCCTCAGCCAGACCTGTTGGGGATGTTTCTGGTCGGAATTGCCGTCAGATACATCCAGATCTGTATCTCACGGCAATTACGACCAGAAATTAAGTCAAAAACTCAGTGTGAGCACACCTCTAGAATGTTTTCGAAAATCAACGGCCAGCATTCTGAATGCATCTGACCCATGCGGTTGTCCAGATAGATTCTGAATATTGCCGTTTTTGTCAAGTGGTGCGGCGAGCCCCTCAGCCAGGGCTGTTGGGGTGGTTGGCTTCAAACTCGGCCACAAATATCCACAATTATTTTTACGCCGTCCTTTTTTTTCCTTTTTTTTCCTTTCTTCCCCCTTTTTTTTATTAACCACCGTCCTTCCTTGTCCCTAAGCCAACCCTGTTTGTCGAGGGAGGTACACCATGACTTAGGGATCGATTCACATCATGGGGTACCCCCCTCCACAAACAAAGTTCCTCCACAAACAAAGTTAACCCGGGTCAGGTCGCGGCTGACCAGATTGGTCAATGATCATCACCGACGAACCCCAGGGCGCCACGGAGGTCCCACTTCGACTTGCAAGTAGTCTTTTTTTGAAATTCGTTCTTCGCCGTTGATCTCTTTCGTAATCGACCGGGGACGGGCAGGAACCAATCAATCAATCAATCAATTACTCAATCAACGAAGAAACTTCATTGGTTAGCGGTCATACTGACTCATAGATGGTGAGGAAGATATTAAGATCTTATCCAAATCAATCATTGGACACAAGATCTGAATTCCTAGTCGGTAGCATCCCGGTCATTCAAAAAAGCGAGAGAAGAAAAAAAACAAAGGATGTGGATGGTGGTGAAGATCAGATCATATCTAATAAATGATTGGACGAGATATGGATGGTCGAATCATTGGACGAGATTTTATTCAGATCTTATTTAAATAAATGAGCAAAGATGTTACCGAGATCTTGTCCAAATCATTGAGCAAGAATCTGCGAGATCTTGTCCAAATCATTGAGCAAGATCTTATGCACAAATCATTGGGCAAGATCTTATCCAATCGGGATAAAATTTTCATAATACGACGATGACTAGACACTACTTAGAGTAGCAGGCTGGGGATTGAACAACTTTCGACAGGAGGTGTCGAGAAGCATGCTCTGACAACTGGCGAATTTTGTTCGTTTTGTTCCCGTCGCCGACTTCGACAGCCTGTGTGGCGAAGAGAAACTGTCGAAAATTGCATTTTCGACAGTGGTGCGGCGAGGCCCTTACCTGTTCAAAGATCGATGGCACCGGTAGCCTCGGTAGGGGCAAATCAGAAATTTTTCTAACGGCTATCGGGTAGGGGCATGCTACAAATTTGGTGTGGGTACCGGTAGGGGCACTACGAAAACATATGAGGCCCAAACGACACCAGGGTTATATGGAAAATTTGACTTGTGTTGACTTGTGGTCAGAGGGGCGAGACAGGGTAAATCAGCCGTCAGAGGGGCTCGACGCAAAATAATGGAAAATACAGGGGTCCTAGACAAATTTTCCCTTAAAATTACGGAAAAGTAAGCAATTGGTCCCACGCCACTCTGGTAACCTACCGGTAGTCTAAAACAGATTAACACAGATTTTACAGAGGGGTGACACAGAGTTTACAGAGGCTTGACACGGATTTCACATACTGCAGGTTAGACAAAGTTTTAATATTGATTTAACCTGGGCTTAAAATAGTTTCACTGTAGATATGACACAGATTAAAGATATTTAAACACAGATTTGACACTGACGTAACAAAGAATCTGATGTGGGCACCAATTTAACACAGATTTATCACGGACATAACGATGATAACACAGAGTAAACACAGATTTATCACAGACATAACACAGAGTAAACGCAGATTTATCACAGATTTGACACAGACCGCAGCTGCAATGCTCACTGCATCACCAGAAGAAAAGAAAAATATCTGCTAGTCTGCTGCAAAGTATTCTCCACTATTCTCATTCTCATGTGAATACGGCTTAAGCTAAGAGTACACTGAGTAGACTTTTGCATCCTTTTTATTTTCCCTCCCCCCCTGCTGTGCTGTCACACTATGTGATTGTGCACAAAGCATTTTGACATGAAGTACAACTGTATGACACTTTTGACGAGATACCAGTGTAGGAGGACCATCGAAGACTGATCTTTTGTTGATCTCTGGTTTCTTACTCATGTTGCCATGCCAGGTTATTTCAGTGAAGCAGGGAGCCACAAGGCCCACAACCATCAATTGCGACTTTCCTTACCAGGCAAGCTGAAAGCAGGCGTGCACCTGTCTCTTATACACATCTAGATGTGTATAAGAGACAGCCACTTTCCTATCTATCAATCAATCAATCAATCAATCAATCAATCAATCAATCAAACAAATCAAGAACTTGGTCGTTCGTTGTTTTCTTCAATTTTATGTTTTTTTTTTTTTTTTTTTTTTTTTTTTTGTAATAAAGAAGAAAACAAGGAATGAAAAAAAAAAAAAAAGTACTGTTATTTTGCAAGGACAATTAGTGTGTGTGTGTGTGTTATGTGACACCCACGGCCGCGGCCGCTGGCGTTTCGGCCGCTGTGGCCGAGAATCCCAGCCGCGGCCGCGGCCTATGAGGCCCCCAGTCCGCGGCCTGGTTTTTTAATTATTTTTTTTCACCGTTAAAAATACGTAAAATAAAAAATAAAAAATGCGGGTGTAGGGCTTTGAAAACCCTACACCCCTATATATATTTTTTTGGAATCCGACTTTGTTTAGGATTTTTAAAAAATCAAAAACTAAAATCGATTTAAACAACATTAAAAAATATATATATAAAAAAAACAGGAATTTTTTTTGCCATTTGTTTTTATGAGATATATCGTCCCTGAGTCAACCTGTATTTTTTTTAGAATTGGATTTTTGTTTTTTGCAGGGAAATGAGGTGTTTTAAAAAAAAAAAGATGCAAAATTTAAAAATAGATAAACAAAAAACTTCAAAAAGGGTTTTGATTGATTGATTGATTGATTGTGAGTGTGTGTGTGTTTTTGTGTGTGTGTGTATGTGAGAGAGAGAGAGAGAGATTTTGCTCATCCTTTCGATGGAAGTTGCGCGAGGCCGCGGCGCAACTTCCGTCGAAAGGATGAGCAAAATCGATCAAAACTTCGGCTAGAACGTCGTAATATTCACTACTACACGTATGTGTGTGTGTGTGTGTCCATGTGTGTGATATATATATATATATGTA